TGAACGGGTTCTGATGAGAACAGTGTAAGCGTTCAAGCAAACCACTTCTGAAGATGCAAGCCACTCGTGCTTGCGAAACATCAGGAAGAAATTCTGCCGGACGACGGCCTAAAAACCCGAAAAGCCCATTAGCTTCAAGGAATGGCCTCAAAAGTTTATCTCTTTTGATAATACACTGATTGCACAGACATGCAGTGGTTCTAGGAACTAAAAATACCGTGAAATCGCACACGCAACAGCAAAAGAAAACTATTATAAACTCGACAATACCAAAAACGCTTCATTAATTTAATTGCATTTAAGTATAAGGAACATTTAATAGAAAGGCTGTTTTTTTGTAAGAACAAAAAGTGGACAGAACGTGCTGAAAATCTCATTGCATAATATCGAATATACCAGAAAATAATCAATACATTTTAGACGCTGTTTATATTCGCATAAACAAACATATTGCACAAATACAGCAGTTTGGCTGTGTAAATATTTGGACAAATAGCAACGACCATATGAAGTTCCTTAATTGTACTTTTCGTTGTTCAAACATGCTTTAGAAAGCAATTTAAAAATACAGACATACACTTACCGACGTTGATTGTCCCGTTATGAGTTAGCACATCCGCAGTTTTGTAGGGCATCGTACGGAAGTGTGATGTATGGCAAGAACTCAGTTTCAAAATGTGAATGGGTTTTTTTAAGTAAAATTACATTTTAACAGCTAAATTTTCCCTAACTTTGGAACTGGATGAGTTCTGGTTGCTTAGAGCTATTTGGTTTATGTTCGAAGGGTTTTTGAGCCCCAAATGTTGTACAGGGTGAAAAATGAAAATGCAAAATTTTGGAAAGTGTGAGATGCTCCTAGTTGGACCAAAAACAGGTTTTTCGGATCTCATCTCCAAAAGTTTAAAGATAATCCAAACAGCTCCAAATAGCCTTTGAATTTTAGACGATATCTTCTATTTACAGGGTGATTTAAAAAAAGTACTTTTTGGTTTTGCAGCGATAACTTTCCTGATTTTGGTCCGAAAAATCCGATATGCAGGGTTGCATACAAAATTAGCCCATGATTTTTTTCTGAGGTCTTCAACGTGAGCATAGATTTTCCTAATTGGCTCAAAAGAAAAAAATGATCGCTGCAGTACCAAAAAGTTGATTGTTTAAGACCACTATGTATATATAGGTAATCGAATGGGCGAAAAATTAAAAAACTTTTTTGGAGATACGAGCTCTATCTAACCGGCTGTGGTGTTGAAATACAGATTAATTATTAGATGTAGATTTTTGTCCATGATAGGCATTTTGGTTCGGAGATTTTTTCGATATTTGCCCCGGTTCTCGGTTAATTTACTATCTATTTCAATTAAGCGTTACTTCAATGTCCGGCAAATGAATAACAAAAAGTGGTTCTTTTATAAATCGAATGGGGAGGCAAATGAGTAAAACTACTGCCTTAAGGAAAGCTTGGTTTATTTAAACTTTTTCAATGAAACATTGTCGGGATGGACGGACATATTTAAGTGCGCTTACCCAACTGTTGTCCTTAAACAGCGACATTTCAAGTCCCAAAGCGGAAAACAGTCACAAAACGACGAAAAATTGTCTCATAACTTCACACACAATATCGGCTTGGCAGAATGGTATTTTCATAAATACCTATACTAGCACAATTCATGAGAGCGACATTAAAAATAATTTACTTCAATAAAACTTAACGAATACGAATTTGGAACCGTTGGCGACCTTTGCCAATTTGGTTGATTATTTTTTTAAGGCTCCCCCACAACGGGTTCCAAAGCCTGATATCACTAATTGTTGTAACAAAGCTGTACTCGAACCGATGTTTTTAACGGAATTTTTTTAAGCCGCAATTTGCAAACACGCAAAAGTACGATCGCGCGATGGAATTACCGAACGCTGTAAACCAGCCGTGGTACTTGGTACTATTGTTTATTCTATTAGCTACCTGCCGCGATTCTAATTTACTTTCTACTTGGACTCTGGCAACAATAGGGGGGGTATTGTTGATTGGACCGATAAATCAATTTAAAAATCAACTCGGGGAATCT